TCAGCTCAGTGGTTCAGAGCTGTGCTGTGCTGCATTTCCACTGGGGCTGCAGGAATTGCAGATATGGGGAGGAGCAGACAAGGAGAATTGGGAATTGTGCACATATTTAACGTGAATTTCCAAAATACAAAGTGTTCTCTTCACCTCTGTACTGGTCACCAACTTGTCCTTAATGTCTCATACCTTGAGGCTTCCCAGAAGATTTTTCCAGAGTATTTGAGTGAAAATTGTGAAGAAGTCARCTCTGTTTTGGAGAGTTGCATTTTTAGGCTGCCAGTGGAATCTCCTGACGTTTGTATTTCTTTTTTTTTTGTCTCTCTTAAATTCCTGCCGCTCTTCACAACGTCACAATTAAATGTTTAAAAATATTTCCCTTACTCATCACTGTTGTTGTTGTTGTGGGGACTGATCATTCTCTCTCATAAGGGTTTAAWTTAGAAAAATTCAGAATATCTGCTCAGAATCCCAGCTGATGTATTCACATCCCTGTGTGTGTAAACTGTGAGTAACTGAGTTCCTGGAGACACATTTAACATTTGGGAGATGGAAAGCATTTGATCTCCCAAAATATGGATAAAGAGCCACAGGGCACAGCAGAGAGGCTCCTTAAAATGTGTGATTGCTGGTAAATAATTGTTTATTTCCAGAAAAAAAAAWATTATTTACAGAGAAAGCTGGAAAYRAAACAATTCTGTGYTTTCCCYAAGCGATGTTTGATAAAGAMTTGCTGGGTTTGGATTGGGATGGACAAATTCACAGGAATTGTCTCCAAATCTTCTTTCTCTCCTGTGCTTTTTTAACAGGGGCTCCCTGGCTTGTCCAGGCGGAGGATTTGAAATGTGAATCGAGGAAAGAAAACCAATCCAGTGGCACTGGTGGCCCTGGGCCGGCCTGGTTTGAGCCGTGGAGCAGCAGCAAACCCTGGAGGGAACCTCTGCGRGAGAAGAACTGGGAGGAGCAGCAGCACAGCGGGGTCCAGGGGACAGCTGGGGACAGAGGGGCTGCAAAGGGGCTGGGACAGCCCTTGGGAAAGCTCACACTGCAGGTGAGCCCATTGCATCCCATTGCATCCCATCCCATTGCATCCCATCCCAT